CGAATTCAAATAAAATATTCATGGGAACTTGGGATTTTAAAATTGGGAAGCAGAGGCGTCACTGAACAGGAATCGGTACCTGCAGAGAAAAGCCTGTTCAATGCATCTCTACTTAGCAGGTGTGGAGTATAAAGTAAAACCTCTTTTTCTGTGGCTCTTATTTTGTTTTAATGCTGAACAAACAAAGTTACAGTTCTGAAATCTGCAATAAATACTACTCTGATTTTAATAAACGCACTAAATGAATTTTATTGAATTTGTTGTTGATTGAAAAATGGCACTTTGATTAAAATAAAAGCACTTTTTGAGCTTCACTTTGGTAGATCTGCTGTTAGGAATTCATTAAAAATTAAAGTGGGGGGGGGGAAACATCCATTAGCAAATGTATAATTTTCCTTCACCTCTATCGCTTTCTACAGTCTGTCCCTCTGTTCAGCTGCATCACCCTGCAGCTCATAACCTCACCACTTCCTGCAACCAGCTGGATCCATCAGCGTTCGTCAGGATGCGATGGTGGCGCAGCTCAGGAGAACGAGCAAACAGGCTGGAGAAGTCCTACTTCCTCAGCCTTTGATCATCTTAACCCCCAACCTTTTCTTACCATCAAACATTTAAACACCTTCTATGCTGATTAGGTTGAGATAAAGTTCCTTCTACTTTGCTCTCATAAGATGAATAAAAGAAACATTGTTTTAACTTGAAGGCTTATCTAATCTCTGCGAGTTTTCCTCTGACAGAGGACCGAAATGTCTGGGCTGTGCTGCGTAAGGCTACTGGAGGAAGTAAGTGAAGTAACAAAGGAGGAAGTGCTGACTGCGTTATGTCGACTCCCACTGAATATGGTATGCTAGTGTTAATAATTAAGTCTTACTCACAGCAGACACTCTTTTGTGCTCACTTTCATGCACTATGAACAACAGCGAGCCCTTTTCCTCGAGCAGTCACTTCAGAAAGTGAAACTGTGAAAATTTCAAATATTTATTTATTTTCATTTTGCATATGACTGCATGCAAATAATAAAAATTTCACAATTTGTGTTGCAGAAAATTGGAATATAGTAAAAAGGTGAAATATTGGAAACTTTTATTGTCACACTTTAGTTACCCAATTAAGTTATAAAGACCTAGAGAGATTTCCTGAAGCTAAAAATGGTCACTCACTCTAGGTCAGCCGGCTACACAAACATGCAGAAGACCGTCATCGACGCCTCCACACGGAGGGGAAACCAAAGAAAAGTATTTGCTAAAGACACTGGTTGGTCACAGAATGCATATAAAACAGAGGACTGAAGAAGGGTGGCAGGAAGAGGTGCACCAGGCAGGAATAGCTGCAGCTTTGAGAGGTTTGTCAAGCAGAATCCATTCAAGAACTTGGTGGATCTTCATAAGAAACGAACTGAGGCAGGAGTCGCTACGCACCGACAACTCCTACACACGGGCTACAGACGTCGTATTCCTTTTGCTAAGCCACTCGTGAGCCAGACTGGACTGTTGCTCACTCAAGGTCACGAAGTCTGGAGGCACAGTGGTGAGGCACAGTTACTGGAAGTCCAGTGTGAAGTTTTCAGTCAACGATGACCATGTCCAGACGCTGTAGTCCTCAATCTGGTGGTCCCGAGTTCGATTCCTGGTCTCTGGCCATTTGCTCCATGTGTTCCCCTTCCCTTCTCTGTCCTCCCCATTTCCTGTCCATTTATTATACAACAAAGGCCACTACAGCCTAAAAAATCCCTTAAAAAACAAACAAAAAAAGAAAAATCAATGAGTCGGGGGTGGCAGGTCCTCTGTTGATGTTGGTCCAACATTTATGTTTATGGAAATGCTGACTTTGTTTTCCAGATGGACTTTGCACCTACCCACACTCCCAAAGGTACCATAAGCTAGTTCAGTGAACAAAGTGTTACTGTGCTTGACAGACCAGAAAACTCACCTGGCCTGAACTATACAAGATATTATTTCCCCTTTACTTGTGGTGGCTCAGACCTTCTTGGGAAACAAGCTTGCACAATAACACACTCACTCGTATCTTGAAATGCTACAACTAAGGAACAGGCAAATTTTTTCACTCAGCATTAAATTTAGACATGGGAAAAACAAAGCACACCCTCCGTCAAGTTTTGGGTAGATGATAACAAGGATCTTTTTTCGTTTTTGGTTTTCCCTGATGACGGTGCTGTTCACTATGTCCAGACAGCTTTGCTTTTACTCCATCTGTCAAAGGTCGAAGTTCCAGAAGTCTTATTCAGATGAAACTTTGCTTATCCAAGTCAACCTCTGCTTTTATCTGAGCACTGAATCCAAATGAGTTAAATATTTCTCTGACATCAAGAACTTCAACACTTAACCTACTATTTACTAAAGCTACAGTAGTGGCTCTTGAAGCTTTTTGCAATTGGTTGGAGAAGTGTACAGTCTGACGTCGCAGTGAATTGGCCAAGATGTCAACTCCAGGAAGAGTTTGTGACTGCAGTCAACTAGCCTTTCGTTTATATATATATTAACAACCTGATGAACACCAGATTATTCCCTTGTTTAAATATGTAAAAAGAATCAAGACTGTGTATCCAAAGCTCTGTGAGGACTTAGTTAATTCTGTTAATAATCATCAAAAAAGTCTTTCAAACTTCCTCTTAAGCTGACTGGGGGAAAAAAAGAAATAAATACCAGTGGTAATTCTGCAGAAATAATCGTTCCAGTTGGACTTCTGAGTCTAAGCCATGTGTAAGCCCTGCTGCAGCCTAAACACACACACACTAGTTTCTCCCCGGCATCCAACATAACTTAAGTGGGCTGATGCCCATTGGTTAGTGTCACAGCCACTGCCTTCTTAATTCAAACAATAGTCACCTTTGTGTGCAATGCTTGGTGAGTGGGTATACGAGCACATTTCCTCTGCTTTTCAGCAGTAATTTCTTTCTGCTCAGTCTCTCATTGCAGTGGAGTGAGAATGGAAATTAATTTCACACTGACGAGTACTTAAAATGGTAGCAAGCAACTTTATCTGTGTTCAAAACAGAAGGGCTTAAAATTGAAACTTCCTCTTCTCTTTGGTTGCCTTTGTGGGGTTTTGTCTGCAAGATTATGGTCATGGCAGCTGAGAAAATAACCAGTTCACTGAGGAACTGTGAAACAAGATGAGGATGTATCTCTTAGCAAATGACGGATAAAACTGTTACCTACATTTATAAATACACGAAACAGAATATTCAGTCATAGAACAAAATGCCACATCTATTCAGACAAATTATGCTACGTTTAACAATATTAACGCAATTTCAGACCGTTCATTCCCCCTCGTTGCCTGTCTAGACAAAAAGTAAAAGAGGATTTCGCTACGTCTAACTGGTCGAAACAACTTCAGCTTTTTCACCTACAGATTAAAAGTACTTTTGCAAATCTGACAACCGGTTCAACCAAAGATAAAGTCATCGCTCTCCAAAAGTTCAGAAATTAATTTAAAAAGCACCACATTAAAACATGATTAGTTTATCAACAATTATGCTACATGAATTGGCAGACCAAAGACTCCTATAATGTTGCCAACTTTTTTCTTGTAAATTGATTTTATCATAGAATAATTTTTAATTCATAATAAATGATTATCCTCTCCAGTACAAATATGATCAGAAACAGAAAGCAATTTATCTTAGCCACTCTATAAAATGAAGATGACAAAAGAATCGAAGTGAACGTCAGATATTTAAAATAAATAAATAAAAATACTTGTCTAAATATGCAGATATCTACATCCAGAGCAACTAAGCCTCTGAGAAATATGGCTCTACAAAGCCTAGAGTTATTTTACTGCAATGACAATGAGTCCCAAAAGCTCACAAACCTGAACATGTCCCGCGATCACAAAGTCTGCAAAGCATCCAGGATTATTAGGGAAACAATTAGTTGCCATATTTATTGCAACAATGCCAGTTAAATGACACCAGATACCCCAAAAACTTTCTGTGAATTTTAGCTTCACTGTCGATAAATTCTCATCAAGTGTCAGAGTGCATTTCTGAACATCCACAGATTGTCAATATATTGTTTGAAGTATGGCTATAATTGAGCTTCTATTAAAATCTTTCAGCAAATATTGCAAGAATTGTAACTTCCAACCATTTCTACGTCAATGTGATATTGTAGACCTAGTGCACCGACAGTAACATTTTTCTTTAATTATTTATACACCTCTTCACCGGGATGGAGGTTCCTGTATATTTGCATACGAAGAAAATCTTCTCTGAGGTCTACATTTATTGTTCTGACTGGCACCAAAAGACTTTTTTTTGCTTAATAATAATCATAATTGCGTCACCTTGTTCTGTTTTTTGGAACCGATACACCCAAAAATCCTCATCAATAAAGTTCCAACAAGTTTTCTAAGCTTTTACAGCATTTATTCTGTGACACTGCATCTCAAAGTATGAAGTTGATCAAAACTACATTTTAAAATTTATGGAAATTACACTAAAAATGTGCAGCACACACATAAAATTCATCAGCGTTGAATTTCATTCTTCTTACTTTGAACTACTTCTGCTGTCTGTGGTTCAGTCTACATATTTCAACATTCAGCCTTTTTTTTTTTAAAGAATAACTTCTTTTTAGTGCGAGAAGCGAGCTTTTGTTTCAAGCTGCTAAGAATATCAAAGAGCTAACAACTGTAGCAGCTAAAGAACGTGGCGAATAGATGGCAACGATAGAGAGGCTCAAAAACAAAGTGACAGCAGGCAGCTGTAGAATGAGCACCCTTCTAACCACACACCCTAGCATTCTCAAACCACAACATCTCTTCTCTTGTTTTGATACGTCTTGAACTACAACTACCTTAAGGGGGTGGGGGTTTGGCTGCCATTGTTCTCAAAATGATTCTGAATGAAGCACAAACTCCATCGCACATCCAATTTACTCATTTCAGATGGGCTAATTAACAGAACGTACTGGCACGGCAGCATAAAGTAAAGACACAAACAGGAAGGCAGACTTCTGGAGCGTTTCACAGACCTGGGCTGCGAATTCTCCTCGTACATGCGCTCCTTGCCTTCCTTGAACAAGCTGATGGTCTGCTTGGTCTTCTTGGTCAGGTTCTCCATGAAGACCCGGAAGTACTCGTTGTCTCCCAGAGTCTCCATCTTGCCCTCGTAGCGAGACAGGATGGTGCGCAGGTGCTGGTACGTGTCTGGCAGCAGGTCGAGGATGTAAGGGGGGCTGTTCTTCAGAGCCAGTTTGGGGTTTTGGCACAGCCGCACCACCTGCAGAAACGGGAGGATGTGAGGGGGAGAACAGAGACACGGTTAGGAGATAAGAAACCAGCTTTACGTGAAAGAAAAAGCACAAAAAAGAAAGGTTAGCGAAAAAGGATGCGAGGAGAAAAATGTGGAAGGACAGATTAGACGACTGTCTCCATGTATTTTTAGGCTGTACATCAAAATTGCAGTTTATAAATGATTAAAAACCCATTTTTAATAGTATGGCTCTTTGAGGGATTAAACCACTCAAGATGTTTCCAGGGAGGCCAAATAGGAGCCAGGCAGAACAGAACATGGCAACAAAGACTGAGAGAACGGTCCCTAAAAGCCCAGGCCTTTTAGAAATCAGCAACCTATGCATTATGTAATACACTGAACATTCAAGCCCTCACTGTATGGCATCATTAATTATTTTACAAGCGCTGCACTTCCTTCATAAAAATGTACCAGCCCAAGACAAAGGCTGAGTGCATCCATGAACAGCGTCCTGCCAAAGCGTTCAACAGCCCCGTTGACAGACGGCCGCAAGGAGACTGGCGTCCAGCCACACCTTCCAGCGGGACGACGATCCTGCTGGAACACGGTTTACGTCAAACCGTATTAGAGAAGCCCAATCAAACCCAAACCCAACTGAGAGTCTGAGACAAAACTTGAAAACTGATGTTAAGAGACGCGCTCTGATCATTGAGCTTGAGTTGACTGCAAACAAGAATAGATTAAAAAAAAAAGACAGTCTCTATGTAGCTGGCAGAGATTAGTTACAATCACGTACCATTTTCTTTCATTTCACAATTATAAACTACTTTACACATACAATTTCAATGAAATGCATTGACATTTGTGATTCGTAATGTAAAAAAGTTTAGTTACATAAATACAAACTATTGTAGGCCGTCTTTTCTCCCCAAACGCATCCACAATCCTGTTGTTTTTCCACCACTTTGTTCTAATCAAGAATGCTTGAAGTTTTTATACGCCGATCGTGCCTCTGCAGTCTTTGTGCGAGACCCTCTCCCCTCCCATGTGTGTCCTCCTGAATGTTTGGAGAGGCTATTCATGTGTTTATACTTCCACATTTCAATCTGAGGATCCTCTGCCACTTCTGCCTTCAAAAAATAATAAATAAATTACACAAAACACCCATTCTCCTTGCTTCATATTTGAACGTGATTATCATGCAAATCTGAAGAGCTCAACTGCAGGATGATGTGCTGGAAATATGTGCTTCATGGCTACTACTACCCCCCTCCCCAGCAAAAACTAAAAACGAACAAAAATAAACTCCTGGTAGATTGCTTTCATAAATTATTTATTTGAAGTTCAAAATATCTGTAGTCACAACCAGATGGACTCAAGTTCACTGAAACACGCCTGATCTTCAGTAATGTTCAACCTTTCATCGCCGATCTCACTATAACTGAGTCACTTCGTTAACCATAACAAAAAAAAAAAAAAAAAAACTAGAACGATACTGGCGTAAAGCCTGGAACACTCTGTCATGAAGCCCGGTAACAACACGACTGCAGCCAACGCGCACACAACCCCGTTTGTTTAGCTTGCATGCAAAGAAATAAGTTTTCATTCATAGATCTGAGCCCGAATCAGAGCAGCCATCAGTAGCAACCAAACTATCATGTCACCAACAAGGCATGGCTCTTTTTTTTTTTTTTTTGGAAATAAGGCCAGATGATTGTGTGCGGATCATGTAGGAGGGCAGGAAAGAAATACGGCAGGTACACGTCTTGAAAATGGCTGTTATGAATCTCCTTGCCTTTTATGAGAGTCAACAGTTTTCCAGTAGGGAGGAGGGGAAAAAAAAAATTAAAATCAAACCTCAGACAATGTTGAGTGATTTATAAGTTTGGTAAAGATTTGATTTTGGCTCAATTATTTGTACTTAAAGTATTAAGTAGTTAGTTTCAAAACCGCTAACATTTTTCTGTCAAGCCACACCCCCAGTTTAACGTCTCAATAACAAGATGTGAGAGAAAGTGTCAGTAGAGCAATTTTCTTCAGCTGTATGACACATTAATAACCCACCAGAGCAATTAAAAAAAAAACAAGCAACGCAGTATAATTTATAACACACTGCCCATTAAGTGTTACTTTAGAGAAAAGTCTTTTAAAAAATGCTATTTATCGTTTTTATAATTATCGTGCCGTATCTATATTGTTCTATTTTTTTCTAAACCACTCATGACTTCACAGTACAAGCCACAAATAAAACTGACAGAGATAAAGTTTGCACTTGAGCTCGAAGAACCTTGAATCAATTTATAGCTGACCGACTGAACCGACAGCCCTCTGACGAGCAACCGGAACAGCTTCAGTCGTGCCATGAGGAAACCAGATGATTAACCGTCTCCAGAAGTAAACAGGAAAATATTACATAATCAAATAATCATTAGTTCCAGCAGAGTTTCCTAACTTAGCATGTCCTTCATTTGAAGGCATTTTTAATCTTGAAACCGAGAAAAGCAAGACAGATGCTTATTATGTGCTTATGGGAGAAAGTCTGACGTAGGAAGTCGTGTTGCAGTCGTGAACTTTAACTTGAGAACGAGAAATGTATCCACCACACAACTGCAGAGTATTAATCAGAAGACACCGTCGGCTAGGCGTTGCAACAAAGAAAACCGACAACATTTAACAGGAATAATAAATACATGATTTGCATTATGGGATACGTTTCTCTCCCTCTAGATTTAGAACCTTTAGACATTTTAACTTTAAACTTTTAGTACAAATATGTTTCAGTCTGATCCAGGATTCAACACGATCAACAATATTCTTTTTTTTCATCTTTTCTTTATGTCAGACACTTGTTACATCTAACCAGAGATAAGGTTTACACCGCTATCATCATCAACACCTGCCAGACTTGCACTGAGCACTCAGTCAAACACGCGATATTGCATGCCTGCACGTTTGATGCCGCAACATCTGGGGGCCCTTATATGTCAGCTTTTATTAAAGCTCCTGTCTTTAAGTGAAAGCTTGACTGCCTCTCAGCAAAATGCACTCCACTTCTACACCACTTTCCTCTGTTTAACCCCTTCAAAGACAGCTTCACACCTGGCGCTGACATGGTAGGTTCACAATAAGTGAAGGTAGCCTGTAGGAAGTAGCAGGCTTCTTTGAGAAACGAGAGCTAAAACAGAAAAGATAAAATTGTTTCCCCTAACTTTGTGTTTTTCTTGTCTAATATAGACATGTGGCTGTTGTTTTTTTTTCTGCTAAGCAAGTGCATTCATTATTTGCTTAAGTTAATATTGCAGGCATAAAATATAAGACCGGCAACAACCTTATAATACTTGTTGTGGCAAATAAAGAAATCAAGTAAATTTGGTGATTAACTTTTTAGGCATACGCTGCTGATTTGTTGAAAAATTAAAATGAACCTGCATTCCAGACTGATTCTCTGTAAAACATATTTACTAAGTATGACTGGACACTGTGTCCTATGAGCAAACTAATAAATCTTCTTGTACAGCTGGTAGAGCGACCTTTACAATGTTCAATTTAGAATAATGATTACCTGGCCTAAAATACATCACCGTGTATGTAAATGTTTAAAACTCAATTTAAATTTTATTTTGCAAGGTTACAAAAATTATATTTTAACTATGGCACAAAGCAGAACAAATGGTGAATACCACATTTGCACAAAGCATAAAAAATACACAAAATATTTTTTTTACAGAAGTGCATTGGATTATTTTTAGTTAGACTGATGGACAAAAAAAATTGTTAATTTTTGGCTAATAGGGAAATAAAGATTTATTTTTTAAAAATTACACAATCCAAGGAAAATATTAAATTAAATAAGGAAATTAATTTATTTTTTGCCAATCTAATTAAGTGTGCAAATATAATTTTTACATCTTTCTATTTCAAAGTTATCAAAATTATTTTTCTTCAGTAAAAGAATCAGATGAATTTAAAAATATGGAGGTTTATGCACAGAAATTTGATTTAAAAAGATCTGAATAGATCAAGAACAGCTAATGTGCACCACCGTCCAGAGCCAGCTAACATCACCAAGGTTTAAAAACCTGTCATCGTTTCAAAACGTGTAAAACTTTCCGTCCGTTCCTAAAATTCAGAGTGCTTTTATTGAAACGTTAGCGTCACAAAATCACCAACCGCAACATTGTGAGAACTAAAGCAATGCCATTCATGGATGTATTACCTTCCTTTAATACATTACCAACTTCTGCATAGTAGATAATATTTGACAAGCAAATTGTAGCATTTTAGCTAACAATACTATAAAAGCTGCAGTTAAACAGTGTTGGCTACTGTTTGCCAACATGGTGTGAATAGTCTGTTAGCTAATAAGTCACTAATATAATCACACTTACCTTTACAATAATATATGACATTCATTATCAACAGCAGCTCGCCAACACTGCCATGTTTCCTGGTGTTTATATTTTCCACTTTAAAGTATTGCTCTGTCTTGGATTATCTAATACAAATCTAAGTTTCAAATTTAATATTTCTTTGCATCAAAATAACAGATACTTGCAACGAAATGCATATTATGAATATATTAATGCTATTATCGTAGACCTTTAAATGGGATCACTTGTATTTAGACAACATTCTTCTATCCATCGTCGATGCTTATCCTGAGGCTATGCCACCCTGGGCACATCGCCAGTCCATCAGAATCCTTATTAAAGTAGGTAGCTGTAGTTTTAAGACTACGATGTACAAATGGCATGCAATGTTAGCAAGTAACTGCAGGCTGTACTAATGACTAATTAATGCCAAAAAGGTGTCACATTTAACACAATAGGTATTTAAAAACTGCATTTGAACGTAGCAGGGGTTAATTGTTCGTTCCGCCCAAGTCTTTGTATGAAAAACAAAGACAAGATAAAAGATAAAATTATGGACACTGGGATATCCAATATATTATCTTAGCATCAACAAGTTAGCAAGAAGTTGGTTGCTTTTGGGTTTTAAATAAAAGCAATTAAATTATGTTACAAAACTCAGTTTAAAAACTGAGATACAATAAATTGCTGCTAGTGAAAAACGTGAAGTCACTGCTGTAACAGTTTTGATAAAATGTAACGCAGAGAAACTTTTAAAGGGAAGCTCCAACATATTTCCTAAGCTATTGATGCATGCTGATGCATGTTAATATACATAACCATACTTCAGCTGCTTTTTAAACAACCTGTGGGAGCATGAAGAGTTTAGTTCCTGTAGTAATTTCAAAATGTTGCATGTCGTTTTCATCTCGCTAGTGCTGCCCATAAACAGTTGGTAGAAGTTTGAAATATGTTTACTTGCACGGCGCTAACTAATAAAAGTCGCTGGAATAAAATTAAGCGGAAAACTCTGGTTGGGTAGTAGCCTCTTAACTTCACAGCTAACAGCCGAGGTATCAAAAAGGAAGAAGAAGAAACTCAAAAAAGCTGCTTGAATCTCACAGGAAACTGGGGGTCGAACTGCTTCTGACTATTTTCCGAGAAGCAAGTTGTGAGATGAGTCTTCCTCGTAAAAGAAAGAGCTCAAATGTTCTAGTTACAAAAGACACATTTCATGTTTCCTTACGATTTATTGCACTTTTTCGACGACTGACAGGCAGCTGGTTGAATGTGCAGGAGTTTTCAAAAGGGAAGTAACACAGACTTGTAAATGCTACACTATCCGGGTTTCTGAAGGATAGGTTTTAAACGGATCCCGTAACCATTTAAAAAAAAAAAAAAAAAGTTTAATAATATGAGGACTGTGGAACAGATGACGGCGCTACCAGTTAGCTCAGACTTTTGACTGATGTTGGGAGCAGGTCTGTTTTACCATGTCCGGAGGCCAGTATCAAACTCAGGTTGTTTTACTGGCCTCTCTGTTTTAATGTTTGTTAGCGAAACAATAAACACATACGAGTTTAGATGGTAAAATTAGCTGAAGTGAGATACTATAAACACTGTCCCCTCAGCTGACTAGCTAACCTAACATTAGCTGCAAAGATTAGCTGGCTAGTTAGCTACAGTTAGCCAAGAGTCCTTTTGGTCATCAAACGTGTAAACAAAGCTCGTTGATGTTTGTGTTTGCTAACCTTGTCCATCAGCTTCCAGCATTTCTCCACAGTTTTCTTGTCGACGGCCCCGGGCTGGTGATGGGAGTGGAGGTGGTGATGGTGTGGCTGGAAGGCATCCTTCATCATTCCGATAATCCCCCCACCTTTCTTCAGGTTCCCTGCCATGTTCCGACTCGGTTAGGGACAGAGGGGCAGGGCGGCCAAGGGTCACGAAGACCAAACCGCCGCCTGTAGTTAGCTCTACCGGGCGATGGTGAACCCGTTACCCCCCTGCGAGGACAGCGCCCGAGGGGCGAATCCGAGCCAGGGTGCGACGGTGGGGTTAAACGGAAGGGTGGGAGGGTACTATCCGCTGAAGGACCCCATCATTAGGAATAAAACCAGTTAACAGGAGAAATGTCCAGACTGCGGAGGAAATGTGTACAACGGCCCCCTTAAACCCTGCTGTTGCAGCTAGCAGCCCCGCTCTCCTATCCCTTTCTGCAGGGACCAACGCAGGCTAATTAGCAGAACCGCCTCTGCTCGCCATCGGCTGGAGGACAATAGCACCCTTTCTGTGACCAGACGCCTTGAGGACTTAAGTGTGTCCTCTCTTCTTGACAAGCCCCGCTGTCGTTCCCCTTTTTCTCAGAACAGCAGCTCTTTTCGCCCGTGCCGCGTCTTGACGGGAAGTTCAGCGGCGGTGTGACAGTGTCAGCGCTCCCCTGCGGGCGGTGAGGGTGACGACATACGCCTCACACCGAGCACAAAGAGGAAGTCGCACTTCGAGCTGTGATGGCTCCGTGGTCATAAATGGGAACAGGGGTGAATAAATAATTGTGCGAATTAAACATTGCCCAGTGTATTCAGCTTCCCCCAGTGACGTGTATGCGCAGCCCCTCTTTTTTTCCCCCTGTATGTACCTCTTCCGTGCAACCTTTATTTCCACGCCTTCTCTGTGCGCGTTCGCGATCAATGGACGCTGCCGGGCGCGCGCCTCCGACTGCACAGTGCATTCATGAAATGCTGTAGATTTGTTGAATGCAGCTCTGAATCCCTCAAAGAACCAGGGCGTAAGCTGTTGGTGCAATGGAGAAAAAAGATCACAAACACATTTTCAGGAAAATAATTTTGTGGCGTTAAGTTTTGCTGTTGGTAATTTTGTCTAGTGTCAGGTGAATATGAGAGGATAGATGTTGCAAAAGCATTCCTACCCCTTTTAACATTTTTTCTCGTTTCAACCACTAGCTGCATTGTATGTGAATAGACCCACACACAAAAAACGCATCATTATAAAGTGGGTGGAATCAAAATTTTACATGATTTTTATGTTTATTTACCTATGCAAATCTTAAAAATTAGTGGACTCTATTTGTATTTCTCCATTCTGTAATAATATTTCGGCAGAACCACCTTTCACACAATTACAGTGACCTGTCTTTTTGGGTTCTACCAGCTTTGCACAACTAGTGGCTAATTTGTTTTTCTGGTAACTTCTGCAATGCAGGATTTAAAGGGGAAGGGTATTGCATAAAATAAACTTTTTTGAGCTTTGTGTCATGTTATAATGTTATTCCCTCATCAAAAACAAAGCTGGAGGTTTGACTTGACTCATTAAGTATGTAGTTTTCAGGCACATGACTATGTATTCACTGTAGCTTCGGCTGTATGTTCAGGAGTGTTGGCCTGCTTTAAGGTGAAGCTTTGCACTTCTGAGAAATGTTCTTCCAAGACCATTGTATTTAGCTCAATCAACCTTCTCATTAACTTTGACCAGCTTCCCCCACCATCCCGTAGTAAAGCAGAAGGATGAAAGAACAATGCTGCCACTGTCATGTTTCAATGTGAGCATGGTGTGTTCAGGGTAATATGCAGTGTGTGTCTTTTTCACCACACACAACATTTTGCACGTAACTAAAAAGATTTATTTTGGTGTCAGCAGACTTGCGCAGCTCTTTCCACCTGTTTGCTTTCTCAGCAACATGTCTTCTGGCAAACTTTAGCAGGAACTTATTGAGGTTTTTTTTTTTTTTCTACAACAGTTTTATCCTTGTCAATCCGGCCATCTTCTATAAAGACCATTTTATGAGATGTTCCACTAACACATAATTAGCCATTTCTATTACTATTATTACATAGTTTGACATAGCCTGAGTACAAAGAGTGCAATATAAATGCCATACAGGAAGTCCACGTCTCTTGCCCTTGCTCAATTTATTTAAAATTAACATAACTAGTAAGTCTAGCTAATACTACATCACACTATGTATTATCAGAAATACCCATTTTTAGTGCCAACAAACAAACCTCTGAGGCTTTCCAGAGTGAAGAGTGGAAAATCAAGCCTCAGTTTTCTTCCTCTCCACATTTATGGACTGCCTTGTGCAAAAATCCCAATACTTAATGCTGACATTTGTGTTTGTAATGTGACAAAATTTGAAAAAATTCAAAAAGTATGAATACTTCTGAAAGGCATTCCTTATATTTTTTTTTTCCCAAGATTTCTGGTTATTTACCGTATTTTCTGAATCATAGCCCACCACACTATAAGCCGCATTTACAATTAAAAACAAACAAACAAACAAACTGGAAACTTGCATATGTAAGGCACACCGGACTATAAGCCGCTGGTATCTCTGCTGCACCCGGTTTCCCATAATGCCCCAGCTGAGGGCTGCCTCCTTATGGGTTCAGCATCTCCAACGCTGAACCATGGTTTTGTTCACGCCGAGTTTACGTGCAGCGGCTCCATTTCCCTCCTGTACTGCCAGATCGATACTCCTCAACATAAAAGCTGCATCATATGAGTTTAAATAAATTTCTCCGTCGTGCCTGCTGCTAGCATGCGCTTGTTCTAAATAAAAATTAGCACTTTGTTCTTTGATTTCCAATTTTGACTTCCAATGATTCACTTCCTGCTACAGAGCCCCCTGGTGGTCGAAGAAAAATCCACAGAAAAGCCGCACCGGGCCATAAGCCGCTTGGTTCAAAGCGTAGGAAAAAGTAGTGGCTTATAGTCCGGAAAATACGGTGGTTTGCCTTTTCCAAACAACAAAACAGACATATTTTAGTAATTGTTTATCTCTGGAAAACATAAAACGTTTTACGTTTATGCATTAATGTATGTATTTGTCTAAGTTATATATAATGACTTAATACTGTAGGAATTGGCTTCTCTAGTAGTAGAGCAAACTAGGCACAGCAAAATGTCTGCATACTTCAGAGCATGAAGAAAAATTAATCTTCTCATTAAAAACTCAAGCAACATGTCAATCCCTTTGAGCCCAGGCTAGAGCCATGTTGGCCAAGGTTAAGACCGTTTTTTTGACCAAGAGAAAGCTTAATTAGCCTGGCACATAAGCTGATTGCTGTTTTACCTACAACAATGAGGGTAATTAAGTGTCACATATTCCAGATGACACAATCGTTGTTACGGTTCTAAGCTGAAAAGCATCAGGACTTTCAAACAAAGGTGCCAAGACAGAAGAAATATGTCACATGAGGGTTTTAAAAGTGATGCTCTGCATTTATATTACTCTGACTAATAACATGTGATGGAACAAGGGGGAAGATGCCATCAGAGCAAACTTCCAACACAAGCTGGATGACATGGAAACTGACTGATAGCTTTGTATATACACGCTGAAACACGGTTTCCAATAGAAACTAACACAAAGGGACTCGAGGAGAGCAGTAGCAGCCCTCTGAGGGTTCGGTCAGACATCTATGAAAAACAATCCCCTCTTCCTGCTTTCCTCAGTGGCGTCCTGTGGTTTGGGATTTCTTCTTGTGTGTGCTGTTAGATTAACATTTTGTGAAGTTGATCCATGTTGTGTGAGGATTAACAAAGACTAACGTCTGACTCTCGAGCAGCAGTGCAATGAGACTAAGCTTGTCTAAACAGCAGGCTTGTGACTTTAGCAGCAAAAATATTTAGATTATTTGACCTTAAATGGGAGAATATTCAGTGACAGTTTAATAAATACAGTTTATTATCCCCTTTTTGACATCTAGCAAATTGTTATGGGACAAGTTTGTTTAAAACACTAATGCAACCAAATCACTAGAGAATATTAGAACAGGGTGAGGCCTAAAATGTATCTGAGGCAGATTGTCTGAAAAGGAATGTTATAAAGAAATAAGATTTAATCCATCTAAGACCTGACATTAGAAGTTGATCTGGTATACTTCATAGAAAGTTTGTTAACTGAGCTCTTTAAATTAACATTTTGGTAAGAAAGAACCAGGAGATCCGGTTTAAAGCAAGGTATGTACTATGTAATATACTTTATAAATGTGACAACATTTCTAAGTGTGAGAGGACTTTATTGTCAAAAGAACGAGATTTGGAGGAAAATATTATTTAGAGGAAGAATATTTGTATAATTTAATTGCGTAGAACTGCAGTTTACCTAGAGAAGGAAATCATGTTGTAAAGAGATGCCCTTATAAATAACCCTGTTTATAATAATATAAAATATGAACATAACCATCTAATATTATTCCAATCTGTCAGTATGGATTAGGCGAGCAATATTCATGTAAAGTGGAATTTTCATTAAAATGTAATTGGGTGAGAGATGGAGTCATTGTTGTCCTGAGTGGTTAAGTGCAGACATGCAAATGTTCCTGGGCTTCAAAGGTAAGTGGTCAGCCCAGAGCTGCGTGAGAGGGTCCAGCCTGCGATTGTACAGAAAGGGTTTTAATATGCAATTATAATCAATTCTTTCGTCTCCAGCAAGACATTGAATCTAATTTACATCAGCTCCATCGTAAAACTCATTGGGGATAAAGGTCTTTAAGGGGAAGGAAGATCAGATTAGACAAAAAAAAAAAAAAAAAAAAAACAAAAAAACAACTCAGCTTGTATCTATTTTCCTGATGATTTCTGCAGGAGAGTCTGGATAGGTTGCGATATCACATCAATGCTTCAGCCACTGCACTGGCTCCATGTTTATAAAAGGATAGATTTTCAAATCTTATTACAGCTCCATAAGGCACTAGATGGTCCTGGCTTTAAAAACATTTCAGAGTTGCTTGTCAGGTCCAGAGCCCCCGGGTCATTCAGGTCTCTGCTCCTCCTCAGCTTGGGAACTAACTTTCCGAGAACCTCGGACGTGCAGAAAGGGACTCTTTGAAAACCTAATCTGAAAACTTTGCTGCTTACAGAAGTTTTCCCATTGAAGCAAGGTTTTTTTTTTTGTTTTTTTTTTTTTTTTTGGTTTTGAGTTTAATTAGTAATGAAGTTGATTTAAAAGCCATGTCGGGTCAAATTTATTATCTTGCCACCACTTGCTGACTTCAACACAAATGTGCTTTACTTGGTCGGCATTTTCAAGGCTCTTCCCTATTTTGAAGAATTTCTGTGAAAAGTAGACCTGCTGTGTGTCAAGCCACTTTTTAACCACGGAGAACAAGAAGTAGAGAATACAGGAAGCAATAAAATGGGGGTGTTTCTTTTGCTTCGAATAGTTATTGCTTAACTTAGATTCTCCTCCGGTTCCCAAACAAATATGCTCAGAATAAAGGTCAGATTTGACAAACATTTGCAGTAAAAAACTTTTTTTTTTTTTTTTTTTTTTTTTTTTAAAAAAAAAAAATTTTTTTTTTGGCCTTTAGAAATAGCATGGGGGGGTTTGCTTTAAAAAAACNATTTGTATTTCTCCATTCTGTAATAATATTTCGGCAGAACCACCTTTCACACAATTACAGTGACCTGTCTTTTTGGGTTCTACCAGCTTTGCACAACTAGTGGCTAATTTGTTTTTCTGGTAACTTCTGCAATGCAGGATTTAAAGGGGAAGGGTATTGCATAAAATAAACTTTTTTGAGCTTTGTGTCATGTTATAATGTTATTCCCTCATCAAAAACAAAGCTGGAGGTTTGACTTGACTCATTAAGTATGTAGTTTTCAGGC